TCTTGATGTGAATGGAATGGAGAAGGAGCGGGAGATGGGAGGGTTGTGGGTGGGAGGGAAGTTATGGGGGGAAAAAGCCACTGTAATCCAAAACCTGTACTTTGGGAATTTACGTTTATTAAATAAAAGTTTTAAAAAAAGAAATGTCAAGACTTTAAATCAGCATTATAGAATCAGGAATCCAAGTAAAATCATGAAACTAGGAAGACGAATGTAATTTCATGGGGAAGGAGCTAGATTCCTCTACTTACGTAGCCTGACGTGATAGAGAGAAAACTAAAAGAGAAGGAAGGGAGGGAGGGAGACATAAATATAACTCGTTACATATTTATTAGTTTTCATGTCTTTTAATTTAATTTCCACATGAAAGCTGCTCTTTGGCTTTGCAGCAGCCACGTATCGGTATGGTCAAACCAATTGCTTTCAGCAAATACAGCTCTGATTGACCAGTGCCCAGGCTCTATCTGCTGTTAAATACTTGGAATGTGATTTAAAACCACACCAGGCCTACAAGATAGGTATTAATAATGCAAAGTAGTTATTATGTCTACACTTGAGAGGTTTTTTATGAAGTTAGGTGAACCTACAGCCAGTGATGGAGCTTTATGTGAATTATCTATGCCTTTCTTAGTAGCCCTTACGAAGTACTATTTCTTATTATTAGGTATTATCCCAATTTTGTAGATGAGAAAACTAAGGATCAGAAAGATACAGTAAATTGCTCCAAACTGAACTAATAGAAAACAAGAGTCCGTTCAAATTCAATTCCAGATTTATCTCAGAGTCTGTTCATTTCATTATACCATGCTGCATCCACAGGTCACTAACCTAAATTTGCCACTAAGCCAGCTCTATGTTCATACCTAGAATTTTCTGGGTTCCTAATTTTATAATGTTGGTTTCATTGACTTCCAAGTTTCTTTCCAGCCATAACCACCTATGTCAAGGTCTAAGTTAAGGTCTTTGTTTAAAGAGTCAATGAAGCATTTGTGTATACGCTAGTAAATTCCATCTGGACAGTGCTTTCATTGGATGATCAGTTGCATCATTTTTCTTGACAAGTTCTTTCTTGTATAAAGGGAGGAGGGATAGCTCAGTGCTCTGGCTGGGTACATTCCAAGTACGGCCTGAGGGAATGGAGCCTATTGAAGGTAGAGATAGTTGGTGCTGCTTCTGTAATTGAAATTCTCATCGTGACAAAGACCGTTCTGTTGTCAGTGTCTTTGCTGCCTAACATTGCTTCTGAATGACTTTCCTCTCACTGTTTTCTACCACACCAAATTTTAAGGAGTGCTGTCACATGGAAGAGTGGGAACTAGACAAGCAATTAACATCAGAAGACATGAGTGCTAGTCACAGTTCTTTCAGTCATAGCTGCAGGAACTCAGGCAAGGAGTTTCTCTTCTCTTGATCTTTCGTTCTTTAACCCACATAGGGGTTGCCTTGGATATCAAATTAGATAATGGTGTCAAGTCCTTTTTGGAGAGAGAGAGAGCGAGAGCGAGAGCGAGAAAGAGAGAGAGAGAGAGAGAGCTCCCATTCAATGGTTCTCTCCCCAAATGCCCACAAAAACAGCCACAACTGGACCAGGGCCAAAGCTAGAAGCCAAGAATTCAATCAGGTCTGCCACACTGGTCACAGGAATACAACTACTTGAGCCATCACTGTGGCCTCCCAGGGTCTGCATTAATAGGAAGCTGAGTCAGGAGTTGGAGCCATGTATTGAACCCAGATACTATGATGAAGGACATGCCATGGGCATCTTTCTTTTTTTTAAGATTTATTTATTTATTTGAAAGTCAGAGTTATACAGAGTGAGAAGGAGAGGCAGAGAGAGACAGAGAGAGAGGTCTTCCACCCGATGGTTCACTCCCCAGATGGCCTCAATGGCCAGAGCTGCGCCAATCCAAAGCCAGGAGCCAGGAGCTTCTTCCGGGTCTCCCACGTGGGTGAAGGGGCCCAAGGACTTGGGCCATCTTCTACTGTGTTCCCAGGCCATAGCAGAGAGCTGGATTGGAAGTGGAGCAGCCGGGACTTGAACCAGCACCCATATGGGATGCTGGCACTGCAAGCGGTGGCTTTACCAGCTGTGCCACAGCGCTGGTCCCTGGGCATCTTAACTGCTAGAACAAATACCTGCACCTCATAGTCCCTTTTAAAAGCTAGATTTTTCTTTTAAAATACATAGTCACACCAATATTTGATTAGTTGCAGAATTCCTTTAAAGCCATAGAATTTTAGCATGGAAATAAATAGATCTTACATATCTACTTCAGTTGTTACAAAATTTTTTATAAATAAAATGCTCATTTGAATAGAAACCTTATTAGAAAGAATGATCAATAAAAAGGTAGAAGGAGGATTTAGCTGCCCTGCTTGTAGCAAAGGTTTTTGTGTGCCAATTCTGCTCTTTACCCACACAAATTTCCCTGAGTTCTCTACCCAGAACCCTAGATTCCCATAGCAACAGTTTGAGGGGCAGGCATGTGGTACAACAGTTAAGTTGCCACTTGAGATGCCTGCATTTCACATGGGAGTGCCTGGTTCAAGTCCTGTATACTTCTCTTCTGATCCAGCTTTCTGCTAATGCACACCCTGGGAGGCAGCAGATGATGGCCCAGGTACCTAGGGTTCCTGCCACCCAGACGGGAAAGCTGGATAGATTTCCCGACTCCTGGCTTTGGCCTGGCCCAGCCCTGGCTGTTGTGTTCATTTGAAAATAGACTAGTGGTTGGAAGATCTTTCCATATGTCTCTCTGCCTTTCAAATAAAATTAAAATAAATTTTGAAAAATTTTAAAGGCAATCTTTACAAAAACAAACACAATTTCAAAATCTCTTATATAATCTACATCCTCTTTTACCAATGGATCTGAAGCCCGGAGAAGGAAATGGGCTTGCCCAGTGCCATCCACCTCATACAGGGACAGCTGGGACTAGAAAGCACACAATAGACACAATATGGCAGTATATTTTTCTTGTGTAGTGGCAACTTCATTTGAGAGACAGACCAGGACACTTTATTGGATGTGAAATGTCTGAGTGGATTATGT